CTCAGCTAATCTATCTTCATCGTTCTTATTCCCTAAATTCTGAATCATTCTGGTTGCCCTCCGCTGTACCTTTTCAATTTCAGCAACGTCCTTCTGATAAAATAGTGACCAGAACTGCACAAGATATTTCAAATCTAGCCCAACTAATGTCTTATATAAAGTAGTGGTAGAATATCTTCAACTGATTTATAAGACTTTCCAGTCTATCTATCTGTATTTGTTTAGTTGTAGTTTCCTCTTAGAGCTGCCAAACATTGTATAGATATCTGGTGGCCTGAAGGCCTATTAAAGACTATGAATGAATCACATTTCCTACATACAAGAAAGAAAACACCCTTATTTTTTATCATTGTGTAGCCAGAAGGTCAATACAAGATAAATCACAGCAACAAAAAGGAAGAAAGAATTTAGGAGAGTCAGATGCTTTATTTCAAATTATATAAGCTTGTCGAGAACTGCAGTGGCTAAAGTAAGGATTACTTTTAGGGCATTGAGGGCTGTGGGTAGAATTGTCAGTATTACATTTATTCGTTCAGCAGAAAACCTGACATGGGGGATATGGAGATTCCCCACAATGCCCCATGTGTGCATTTCTGTACACACATGTATTCTCTCTCTCTCCCTCCCTCTCTCTCTCTCTCTCTCTCTCTCACACACACACACACACACTTATTCTGAGAAAGCCTCCCGGAAAACATGAAGCAACTGTAAAATTTACAAATAAACATATTTTATTTTAAAGGAATCCTCTTTTTCCAGAAGTTAACAGGCGATTAGAAAAGGTTTCAAAATTTTATTTTTGGCAACTGGGGTTGCAACTGGGGAAGGGTATTTGAACACTTTCCATCTGACAAACAGGAACAGGAAGGTTCCAAAGGCTTGTCCACAATAGAGCAAAATGTGGATTTGCATCTGCAAGTCTCACCAATAAATGCATAGAATAGAATCATAGAATCACAGAGTTGGAAGAGACCACAAGGGCCATTGAGTCCAACCCCCTGCCAAGCAGGAAACACCATCAGAGCACTCCTGACATATGGTTGTCAAGCCTCTGCTTAAAGACCTCCAAAGAAGGAGACTCCACCACACTCCTTGGCAGCAAATTCCACTGTCGAACAGCTCTTACTGTCAGGAAGTTCTTCCTAATGTTTAGGTGGAATCTTCTTTCTTGTAGTTTGGATCCATTGCTCCGTGTCCGCTTCTCTGGAGCAGCAGAAAACAACCTTTCTCCCTCCTCTATGTGACATCCTTTTATATATTTGAACATGGCTATCATATCACCCCTTAACCTCCTCTTCTCCAGGCTAAACATGCCCAGCTCCCTTAGCCGTTCCTCATAAGGCATCGTTTCCAGGCCTTTGACCATTTTGGTTGCCCTCCTCTGGACACGTTCCAGTTTGTCAGTGTCCTTCTTGAACTGTGGTGCCCAGAACTGGACATAGTACTCCAGGTGAGGTCTGACCAGAGCAGAATACAGTGGCACTATTACTTCCCTTGATCTAGATGCTATACTCCTATTGATGCAGCCCAGAATTGCATTGGCTTTGTTAGCTGCCGCGTCACACTGTTGGCTCATGTCAAGTTTGTGGTCAACCAAGACTCCTAGATCCTTTTCACATGTACTGCTCTCAAGCCAGGTGTCACCCATCTTGTATTTGTGCCTCTCATTTTTTTTTGCTCAAGTATCTCCCTGTTAAAATTCATCTTGTTTGTTTTGGCCCAGTTCTCTAATCTGTCAAGGTCATTTTGAAGTGTGATCCTGTCCTCTGGGGTGTTAGCCACCCCTCCCAGTTTGGTGTCATCTGCAAATTTGATCAGGATGCCCTTGAGTCCATCATCCAAGTCATTGATAAAGATGTTGAATAAGACCGGGCCCAAGACAGAACCCTGTGGCACCCCACTAGTCACTCTTCTCCAGGATGAAGAGGAACCATTGATGAGCACCCTTTGGGTTCGGTCAGTCAGCCAGTTACAAATCCACTGAGTGGTAGCATAGTCAAGACCGCATTTTACCAGCTTCTTTACAAGAATATCATGGGGCAGAAGTATCCACATTCCAGTGTTGTCTTAGACCAGTGCTTGTCATACATGGGCCTCCAGGTGTTGTACTGCGACTCCCATCATCCCCTAGCTAGCTGGACCAGTGATCGGGGATTATGGGAGTTAGTCCAACTGTCTTATATATCTCCCCCTTTAAATGCAGGGTTTTGCAGTCCTTGGAAAGTCCAAAATAGACAGGATGTGAAAAGCCCACATTTAAAGGGTGGAAAGGTCCTTGATAACACAGTAAAGGAGATGTTGCTATGTGGATGCTCCTAGATTTAATAGAGAAGCAGGCAGATAGAAGTCCACATTTTGCTTTTGTGGAAATTAGTCTGGATAACCCGGCCCAGATTCCTGAAAGGAGTTGCATGCTTTCTGATTAGGCAACTGCTGCAAAGCCCAAAACAGATATTTATCAGATTGGGCTTAAAACTTAACTTGCCAGTTTTCAAACATCAAATTTAAAAAAGCTGTTTTTCCAAAGAAAGAAAAATTGCCCATGAATATGTGTTGCTTTGCTGTATCAAAGTCACTGCAAATTCCTAAAAGAAAGGGCTAATTTTGTAGCATCTTCTCCATACAAAGCTACCTGACTAAATGAAGAAAAGTGGGCCCTTCCCCAGGGACTACCTCTTGTCAGCGATACAGATAGCCTGCAGCTAACATGGAAGTAGGACAGAAACATAACTTGAAAATACTCACCCACACAGACTATCCTCTGAAAGACAAAGAAAAATGTATATTTGGCATGCAAAAACTGACTTCTCCTAACTCAAGCAGTGTTTCTTTTGTGAAGGAGGGTAACGCTACAACTCTGATTGTTGAAGAAAGTAGCTGGAAACCTATAACTGTAAAATAACTACAGTGTCATTAATATGTATGCACGGAAACTGAATAACCTTAAGCGCTTACATTTCAAATCCCCCCCTTCAAAAAAAAAAGTGATATACTGATTTTTTTATCACTGTTTTAGCTGTCCATACCACTGTACATGAGACATGAAGTGGCAATGTTGGTTTTTGGATGTATATTTTTAAGCTTTGCAACTCCCAGTTGCATTGCCTAAGCATTTTTTTAAAAGGAAATTCATATATATATAATATAAAACTAAAAAAAAAAACCTAACACAAAACGTATGCAGAATTTCTTTTCCAATGAAGATCTAATAAAGCTCTTAAGTCTGGATATGTAAAAAATTGCCCTTTTCACAGCTGATAAAATACAAATTAATCCTTAGAGGATTTAATATGTGCCTATTTATTACTTTCAACTAGGAAAGTACTGCCGCAATTAGTATAGCCTGTTCTACCGTATATGTTGCCCTCTGATTCTCTGTGTTGAAACAAAATAATAATAAAGTAGAGCACTGTTACTGTCTGTACACAATGGCACAACTCCAGAGATTCTCACTGATCTGCATGTGTACTGGTTCTTGTAAAATCCCTCCTGATGGGCAGCTTAGACTGCACTGATCACCTGTAAAAGGAAAGAACAGTTGCGTGTTAAGATCACCAAAACTGCCTAGAAATGAATTCACACATGACTCAAATTTTAGTTTGAGGTTTGGCATAATTGTGGCCACAACTTTATTAATTACAGGCTGTGATTGGTTTGCTTAGGCATTGGTTCAGACTATCTGAACCTGTACCCTACTATCCAGGACAGGAGAGGTCAGTCAAGGTAAGCACCCCGGGAGATTGATTGGGATGGGTGCAGTTCCCCAAGATCACACCCTGAATGCTCCCAGGGGATTCTGGGTGTGATCCCAGGGGTTCTTGTGCAGTCCTATCCCCCTTTCAGGGGTCGGACAAATGCATGGCGAGCCCCTGGATTCCTTTAACGGAATACCTAAACAGCAACCATTAGAGGGACCTGTCACAGCCATGCCTCGTCCCCTCCACACACATTAACCAATGCCTAACCACAATCTTTACAAAGTTGTGAGGATTTGCTACACAGTAGGCAAAACCCAAAAGGCACCAGCCAATCAGCCAAGTGGGAAAAATTCCTACCGGGCCCCTGCCCCCAAAGCAGACAACCCACGACGGTATAGCAAGGTCAACACAGACCCTAAATATAGAGAGGGTGGGCGGGTGATCCGGTGGACGAAGTGAAACAGAAGAATCTCAAAGCATCATGCAGCGGTATATATCTATCCCTTGGAAGAAATTTCTGCAACCCCATTGGCCGGAAAAGGTCCCATGCTTCCGAGGGACCAATTGGGTAACTGTGGCAATCCAAACTTACCCACCCCAGCCACGGAGAGTCAGTTGTGGTGACCTCACCACAACACATGCTCTCTGGGAGGAGAACCCGATTTGTCATCAACTCCTTTTACCAGGCTTCCAAATTCAGAGCCGATTGCATCACTTCTTTGTTTAGGATCAGCAGTACCATTAGGTAGAGTGGAGCAGCGACCTCAGGTTGCTGGTTTTGCATACCAAGAAAAGGCAGCAAATTTTTGAGAGAAAGCACTTATTGGCTCCCATTTTTCATCAGTTTTACAGCTTGTGGGGAATGGGTAGACCTGTCCCACCTTGCTTCAGTCCTATTGGCCATAGGCAAGGGGGGCACCTTTAATAACACAAAACCAATAAACAAACAAACAAACAAACAAACGGGAGTAGCTGTTTGTTGTGCAATTCAAATAACATCTAGTTTGTCCCTGAGATTCATTGAACTCAGTGGGTCTTACTTTAGTAAAGATGTCTATAGAACTGCACTGAAAATACCTCAGCTAGCTTTGTGTACTATGCACCTTGATGTGGGGGCATCTTTTTGCTATTCCTCCTCAGGAAGAAAAATATATTCTACGTTCATGTATATTTATATTTTCAATTTACTTAGCATATATTGAGCTAGGTCAGATTCTAATTTTTTCATATGAGCTAACTTTGAAGCGTGGATAAAAGTGCACAACAATTTTAAACAGTAACACACATTAATTGTTAATGCCGTGTGTGTGTGTGTGTGTGTGTGTGTGTGTGTGTTATGATACACACACACACGTAAGCACACAAGCATATGGCACACAGATATATGTTTGCAGGTTCATAGTTCTTCTGTGCTGTACTGAAATATATTTTTTCAAACTTTGAGAAACAAAAAATGATCCCACCGTTAAATAATGAACATACCAAATTACCATAAACTTTGTTCTTTAGGCAGACAGTAATAAGTGAGTTTGTGTGTGTGTGGTGTGTGTATCCTATTATTTTAAGGCTAGAATGTCTGTTTGATATTCTACCTTTGCTACTTCATCAGAACTGCCTATATAATTTCCTGTAATGCCCACGGTTTATTTACAACTGGGACCGTCGTCTTATTTACTTAAGGTAAAAGAACACCTCAGCGGGAGTGAAGGATAGCAGCACTTCTGCACTCAGGATATTAAGCTTCCTCTTCTGTCCCATTTCAGCCCATGGAGCGCTTTTGACAGACAGCATGAAAAAAAATCTGCATAAGGAAAAGTAACTGACAGCTGGGGTCAAACTCTCTCTGTTTAATGACACTGCCAGTTACACATTTTGAATTGTTTAAATATGAGTCTACAGCTTCAACAATCATCATCTCACTGGTTCCACTTTTCATACCCAACAGCCAGGAAACTGACACGTAATTACACACTTACTGATGGTATCGCCAGTGCCGATAATTAAAACTGCCACGGGAGGATTGCTATTGCTAGTCTACAGCTGGGATGTTGTCAAGAGGTAGAAACTCCAGCAGCTTTTAACACTATCTTCTTACAGGTGGACCATGGGCGCGAGTGCTGCAGTAACAGAAAGGCCTCAGCACATCATTCACAATGTCTCACACAAATGAAGAAAATCTATTAACAATCCAATAAGTGAAATACAAACACAATGACCTAAGGGTTAAACTGTCTGAGTGGACTTATAACTCGGATCTATTATGTATTGTTCTTTTCTCTCCCCCCCCCTCCCACTTCTCAACGTATTTACAGAAAAGAATGCAATGCTAAAAAAGAAAATGTAGCGGAGCATTGCTAAGCTGAGCAACAAATATTGAGATTTGGCAGTGAAGTGTGTTTTTGTCAGAAGAAAGCACAAGTTCTGCGAATGGTTTGGAATGGGATGACTCCAAACCATAGCAGGTACCTTTCTTGGTTTCTCAGATGATAGATACGGCTTTTAAAAACTATATAGTACATTTACTAATGTTTTAGCCATGAACCCCCAGACCAGCCCTTGGTGCCTGCATAACTACCTGTGGTCATGCAGTAAGAATACACTTTGCAATATATGAGTATTTTCATCTTGCTCCTACTGTGTGCCTGGTATTAGTGTTTCTGGTACATTTGCCCCGCCCCCAAATTTCCCACCATCAAGGAACCCTTTCCATGTTCACTTACTAAGGACTCACTGCCCTTTGCAGAGGATTCTAGGCTATGTTCTAAGGCAGTGGCTCTCAATTGATGGTCTGTGGACCCCGGGGGGGGGGGGGTCCATGGCACCATTCACAGAACAAAAACTACCATAGAGATATGAATATTTTCAGAAGTAAGGGGTCCATGGCTTGGCTTTTGAAAAGAAAGGGGACCACAGTACTTAGCTAATTGGGAGCCACTATTCTAAGACAAACTGGATTTTTGCAGAGGACCAAGCAGACCTTTCAGACTTTTCTCCTCATATGATTCAAAGATTACAGCTTATTCTGAGCCCAATACTTCTTTGGTTCTCCGCATTTTGTGGAGGAAATCAGTCATGGCAAGTTAGTTGTCTTTTAGCCAGTTTGTCTTCCATTACTGTCCTTGTCAAGGAAACCCAGTGAGTTTCAGAGGAACTCCAATGTTCCTTGGAGCGTGGTTTATAAACCACTGCTTATGAGTATTAATGCTGCAGCCTTGTTGTTCATCCTAAAGCTTAGAATTACCGTATTTTTCGCTCTATAAGACGCACCAAATCACAAGACGCATCTAGTTTTTGGAGGAGGAAAACAAGAAAAAAAATATTCTGAATCTCAGAAGCCAGAACAGCAAGAGGGATCGCTGCGCAGTGAAAGCAGCAATCCCTCTTGCTTTTCTGGCTTCTGGGATAGCTGTGCAGCCTGCATTCGCTCCATAAGATGCGCACACATTTCCCCTTACTTTTTAGGAGGGAAAAAGTGAGTCTTATAGAGCAAAAAATACGGTACGTCACATCTTGCATTCCTGAAGGCTGGAGAAGATGGTAAGGAAATGCATAATAAACGTCATGTGTCCAGATTTTGACCTTGTCATTATCATAATGAAGATACCCTATGCCTAACCTAGTATTGTGTATTAATACATCCCATAAATCCATTTTCCCATTTCTTCACCGAAAATCACTCTGCCCTATAAAATTAAATGGTGAGCAAAATGTATGAATGTGTATTCATACGGCCTTGCTCAATAAGTTTTGCTGCCTGAGGCCAAAGACCTCCTCATTTCATGAACTGAAGCTGACTAGACTGGCAGTTCAACATGGGCATAGTGATAGCATCCCTGCCTGAGGGTGGCAGACTATGTTAGGGAGTGCATGATAGACCATGTAGTACACCCAGCTCTGACATCCAACATCTGCCATCTGAGGTGATTGCCATACCTTGCCTAATGGTCAAGCCGATCCTACATTGATGGCAGTTCTAAATCATGTAGTACATTATCTGGTCACATCCACACCATACAGTTAAGGCACTCTCATGATGGTGTTGTTTCTAGGCCTACTTGGTATAGTGGTACCTCGGGTTAAGTACTTAATTCGTTCCGGAGGTCCGTTCTTAACCTGAAACTCTTCCCAACCTGAAGCACCACTTTAGCTAATGGGGCCTCCTGCTGCTGCCGCGCCGCCGGAGCACGATTTCTGTTCTCATCCTGAAGCAAAGTTCTTAATCCAAGGTACTATTTCTGGATTAGCAGAGTCTGTAACCTGAAGCGTATGTAACCTGAAGCGTCTGTAACCCGAGGTACCACTGTACTGGACTTCAGGACTTCAGGACCTCATACTTACCTATGGAATACTATTCCATTCTGTACCAAATATCATATTAGCAACCACAGAGCAAAGACACTCTCATCTTGTGTTAGGACTGGCCACTTGCTATTGGTCAGGCTCCTAAGATTTTAAACACTGGAAAGGAAAGGAAAAGAAAAGAAATCTCCTACATCAGGTGACGAAGGGAACAAAATCTATAATAGCGGACAAGAGAAATCTTATTTCAGCTTTGTGGATCCCCCAATCTCCCTGGAACCCTACTGCATTTATTGTGGCAGTGATTTCAAACTGTTTGAAAAGTTGTTGTTACTTTTGCAAACATCCTTCTACAATAAGGAGAGGGTGGCGCTGTGGTCTAAACCACTGAGCCTCTTGGGCTTGCTGATTGGAAGGTCAGCGGTTCAAATCCGCACAACAGGGTGAGCTCCCGTTGCTCTGTCCCAGCTCCTGCCAACCTAGCAGTTCGAAAGCACTCCAGTGCAAGTAGATAAACAAGTGCCACTGTGGCGGGAAGGTAAACAGTGTTTCTGTGCACTCTGGCTTCCATCACAGTGTCCTGTTGTGCTAGAAGCGGTTTAGTCATGCTGGCCACGTGAACCGGAAAGCTGTCTGTGGACAAACGCCAGCTCCCTCAGCCTCAAGGAAGATGAGCGCTGTAACCCCATAGTCGCCTTTAACTGGACTTAACCGCCCAGAGGTCCTTTACCATTTTTTTACCTTTTATGATAAGGATATCCAGTCCTGCATCTAGTGGCTATCTGTATTCCATCACAAGAAATGCCCCATACTGCACTTGTTATGTGCATGGAATAGTCGTTTATTATCTGTGTAAGAAGTACCACTTTCTCCTATCTAGTTGAACTGAATGGCAATGAAATTGCAAGGATAATGGAGGATCCTGATCCAGCACAGTGCAGGCAGGTGCTGCTTATCTTCCTTCCAGCTTATCTGTTCCAACTGGCACTGCTCCTGTTACTCCAGTCCTGGCCCATGTTTGATTAGAAGCCGATGTCCATGCCAAGGAATGCAGTGGCACCCAGGATACAAACACATGGTGGCTTGCGTGGGATTACCTAATCAATTTTCACATGCAAACTCAACCATCACTTGAACCTTGGTCTCCGGAGGTGACAGACCACACTGCATTAACACAGTGTGTTCACCTCTATGCTGCCATCTTTTGATAATGATGTTGTGCATGTCACATAAGCCGTTGGCGCTCAAAGTGAAGGGAGAGAGTCACAGCCAAGACGGTACTGGAAGCCAATTTGACTGGAATTGCTGCTTTATGTTCAAGCAAGCACAACTACCACTGGTGAAATGTTCACAACCTTCCCTGAATTTATTTCACCTGCTACCGCTTCCAGCATATTAATGTAGGCAGAGAGGCCCTTGTGAGCTTCCTCCCATAACTTTTGGTGGACGAAATACGGGCATCAATTTGGCCTGTGCGAGACATTTCGGATGGGCAACATTTGTAGCTTGAAATATTGTCATGTGTGTAATCCCTGTGTGGAAATACGAATACTAATCTAAATTAGATTGTTCAGAAATGCACACTGACATTTGCACCGGCAACTAATAATTAGCCGCACATGTAACTAAGCACAGCTAATAATATATCTTTATCATTCTGTGTCTTGCTCACCGTTACTGAAGCGAAGGTGCTGGTCACATGCACAAGGCATTGAGCAATGGCTGCTGCACAATCTTGGGTCATTTCAGTGGGGCTGGAATGATGTTCTTCATTCAAATGAATGGGGACTGTGCAGCCATGCTGTTCAGTGGATTTGTCCTGGTGTATCTGAGGAACAGGTAGGTACTCCAAATCATTTCCATGTGCACAGGATGGTTTTATTTCCTAACATGCTTTAGCTCAGAGTTTTATGTTTAATGTGGCAAGCACTCTGTTGCTTCATAATGATTCAATTGCCTCAGAAATCATTTCAGAATCATTGTGGGCCCAAACCCAAAGAAAGTTATACATGCATTCATCCTATTAAAATTAATAGGGCATAAGGTAATTTGAAGTCATGAGTAAACTGTTCT